TTCAGGACAAACAATACTAAGGAAGGGGCAGTGTTACGACAGCGGAAGTCACGTGACTCTGGTAACACGTGATGAGTTTCTAGTAGATTCATGAAGAGACGAGTGTTTGCCAGACGCCCTCTATTTTGTATATATATAAGTCGGGCGAGAAGTGACGGCATAGATAATTGCAGACAGGCAGAGATAGAGATTTGCATTTGTGTAGATTTGCACTAAGAAAACAACAAAATTTTGAAGGAAGGAAAATAAAAGTACTCTCGGACTTTTGTAGGGGTTCGATATTTGCCTCCCTTATCCTAATTGGTAAGATTGTCCAACTATCAGGCAGAATTTACTACAGCCGTTCAATTTTTCTGATTAAAAATAGTTAAATTGACTATTTCCATCTTATTTCAATATAGGGTAAAATAAATAGCACGTATGCAAATAGGGGCCTACAAATATTTGTGGCGCCAGCCCGCAAAAGGTTAATTCAGTGCTGTTTATCACACGCAGGTAAAAGTGCAGTGTCGGGAATAACTTGACAGCAGAAATTAAGCGAATGTCTTCGTGAAAATGATTTGTTTGCAGTTTGTTTATTGTTAAGCGCAAAGCTACTCAATGGGCTATCCTTACTTTGCCCATCATGGGTATCGAAACTCGGGTTTTAGCGTCGTAAGCCAGCAGACTTATCACTGACCAATTGAGGGTGGAGGCATGAGAAAATGATTGAATAAATATATTACATATTGTTTAAAATTTTACTTGTGAGATTTTAAATTTTATGGCCTAGGCCAATCTTATGTAAATTTAAGTTTAATTCGTATTGAATGCACATTTTATTTTATTTGAAACTTCTTTGTTTATTTGAAAATTAAAAGTAAATAAGGTTTTATGGTATGTGACGCCAATACAGAGTTATTGAACGGCGAAATTATTTTATTTTCTGAATTATTGAATTTATTTTAATATTGGATATTATCAAGCAGTTTTTAAGACATACAAACAAAAATAAATTATTTGATTTTTTATGGACTTGCACTTAAACCTTAACCCTTTCACTCCAACTCTTTTAAACCACTGCATCTTTGGGGTTTCGGGTGCATTTTATTTCGCCATCTTCACCATATGGTAATCTAAATTAATTTAGGTATGTGAATAATTTCGTGACGTATCGTCGAATTCATTATTCGATATTATAAGCAGACCAACTGTTTAATAACTGTGTATATATAATCTTTAAGTTTAAACCACTTTATTGAAACTTCAGAAAATCATCGATTTTTTCTCTTCAACTCAAGGGCAGGTGTAGTTGTAGAAACACCATTGCACACTTAATAATATATGACTTATTCATATGCCGAGCTACCCTCGCTAACAATATAATTATTATATAATTATATAGTTCATAACATGATATTTGCCAATTTAATCATGTATAAAATACATATTAAGATAAGCATATTTAATTTAATTTACTGTTGTTTTAATTATCATTATCATATGATATAGTGAAGGCTTATATATTTGGCTTGGCTTACTGCATCACGTTGTTTTACGTTAATGCTGACGACACTGCCACAACTACACGTGTTCTTATAAAGTTAAACCCTTGCAAGTTGCAGAGCACTTGCCCAGTAATGGAATTCGTTTTAACATTATATTAAATGTGTAAAATAGATTATGATAACCCAAATGCATTACCTTCCATGTATTATAATTAAAAGTCGTTTACCAAATATTCGTTTTATTTACCAATTGAGTCACGTTAGTATAAATTAAATAAAACTTTATACAGCTATGAATAATCAAGAATTTAATGTCACTCTCATTAATGTAAGTTAGAAAAAGTAAAGGCTCAAGTACTGACCCTTTAAGCATTCTAATAATAAAAAGGTCCCATTAATAAAAGGGGTTGAATGTAGTCCAGTGTTTTGTGTGCCACCCTTTGAACTGAAGTTTTGTGGTTCACAACCTGTTACCTCCCCAAAAAAGGGCATACTCATTTTGGGGGCATTATAAGAGTGATACTGAAATCCTACCATTTCCTCTGATAAGGACTCTAAGTAAGTGTTATTGACTGGTTGCCTTTCCTCCATAATTTTAAAATAAAATATGACTAACTCACAAGCTCTTGTTAACTTTGCACTAAATTCTACAAGTACAAAACAACCATTAACAACAACCTTTTGCTTTCTCCTATCCATCCACCTTACGATTCAGTTAAGTAGTCTTTTTTTCCTTAACCTCTACCAATGTAATTTTGTTAGCTAATTTTTTTGTGTCATTTTATCAAAAATTTTAGTATGCTGAAGTCTAGACCCTTTCCAACATTTAATTAAGAAGTAAAATAATTGAAAAACGATGAATTAATAGTGCAAGATATGCAAAAGGAAGAAATAATCAAATTACCTCTGTTGTAATTTGAATGCACCATTGGTGTTACTGAAATGTGAGCTGAAGCTTGTAACTATATGGTAAGGGAAGTCAAGGCCAAGTATGCAGCTTGGACTTAATCTCAGGATTTGTATATTTGGTACTTATATTTTCGTAAAAATATGTTCGTTAATGTTATACAGTACTATATATTAGATGTATTTCTGCAGGGTCCTCAAAAATGTCTTGTTTCAAAAGCAAATAAAACCAAAATTAAGTGTAACAAATATTTTAAATTCTTGCTTTTGAACTTCATATGTTGCAGTGTGTTGTAGCGTACAGAGTGCATAATTATTCTCGTGATTCATGGCATGTGTATGTTTTACAGATATCTCAACAGTACAAATTGCAATGTTAAGTGCCCCTTGTGTGAAGTCTTTTTAGTGTCTACTGACTGATTGACAACACTATTATATAGTGGTGTGAGTGGTTAAAACATGTGACCCC